TAGCATCAAAACTTTACCTATATTTCAATGCACAAACTAAACTTCTTAATGAAAAACGACTGCATGCCTTTGACTATTTTGAACAAACACATGAACCGATGTGAAGAGCTTAAGCTAGGGGATCGGAGTGGATTTTATTCTGAAAAAAAACTGTTGCTTGAAGAAAATGATTATGTTCACCGTTGTTTTATCCACCACAGTGTTTAAAATGTTGAGTCTGAATGGACTAAATAATGACTGTTATAATGTTACTCCTACGTAATTTATATATAGTCAGTAAACAACCTAACACAAAATCTCATAGGTTGAAGCTACCAACTCTGCAGCGAATACGATGACTACCATGTAAATTTGTGACGCGTTACTACCACCTGGTCATACTCACACTGGCTGCCCAGACAGGACTTCTTACTCTAATCCAAATCTACTTGAATCAGGGAGGGAAAGTATCATATTGATTATCCACGATAGGCTTAGTTTGGCAGAGTATTACTGATACTGCGTGATGATTGAAGGGTAAAATGAAAATTTTAGCCACAGTGAGATCTAAATCAAAGACCAGCTGAATATAGGTCTGGTTACCAGTCAGGTCAAGTAGGTCGGTTGGCAGAGCGCTGGACCGGAAACCCCGTGGCAGCTGGTTTAAATCCTGCCGCCGCCCAAATTTTCATTTCACCTTCAATCCCCACCCAGTATCAAATAAATACCTTTTTCCGCCTAAGAGTGAAACTAGATCCCGCATTGACTTCTGGTGCTCCTTCCTACCAATTTTCATCAGAATATAGTCAAAAATCATGAAGGCTTGACTATCACTAATTTAAACAATCAGTAAACGTATTAGTCAGTGCTGGGCTTAGTTTTACTATGTTTAGATGTAAATCGCTTGATTCATTCAGCAATAAACATCAAGATAAGTGGTAAATATGCATGCTTAACACAAGCTTCCATCTTCCTATTTAATCCATTTTGATGATATGGTCTGCAATCAATTAATGTAGCGATAGATTAAAAAATAACAGATGATGGGAGATCAACTTTGCTGTTAGGCAAAAAAAGAGTAATACCCATCTTTTCCTTGTTATGTAAGCATATGAACATTTATGCTGGCTGTTTCGGCTTCTCTTACATACCTGACTTATTTTCTGAGGGACTGTGATTTGTACCAATTGTTGGGTATATTCTTTATCAGCTAGGGTGAACTGAAAACTTTACTTTAGTTCCAGTTGACCATACTTTATTTTTAGCTAAAGAAAGTGTGACTTTTAAGATATACGGGGTCACCAACGCTTAGTTTCATCGTATTACATAATGCTAATCTCTAGAGATTATAACCGGGCAGTAGAATTCAGATGAATACCAAACGTCAGGATAAATTAGTGAACAAAGTAGCATAGTTCTCACTTAAAAATTTCAGTCACAAATATATGCGTCGTAAACTACCTATTGAATTCAATATGGAGGTTTGTGGAGATTTTTTTATCGATTTCAGGTTGTATAAAATTCGTAAATAAATCCCCACAAACCTTCAAACTGAACTTATTCAGTACTCACTTGTGACTAGCTTCGAAAGGTGGTACCTGAAGTTCCAATGAGAAGTCGTAACCAGTGGGGCCGATCATTTCGAACATGAGGACAGTTACTCGATGACAGCACTGGACGGAGGTCGCACCATATCGTAAACTGACAGAATTAGGAAATATGGACCATTGGATTCTGACTCAGTGGCTCAGTGGTAATGTGCTGGCCAAGGAACCCGAACGTCCTGAGTCTGATTTCTGGCTCAGTCATCGAAGTTCTATACTAGGACGGAACAGCTATCCTCCTAGGTTTTCAATATTTCTCTAAATGATGTCAGTCCATGATGAATGCAAACGTTTTAAATCACTGACAATGTAACAACTGACAAGAGAGTACTGTGTTAAGAAATTCTAATGTCCACTTGAAGAAAGATAAAACAGTTTCGAATCTCTCACAGAAATATATCACTTCAAGCTGCTAAATTTTGCAGCAGTATTCAAAAAGCAGGCAGATGAAAAAGAAATCAAATGAAAGTGGATGAAAGTGTCAGAGAGAGGAGGGAATAAGTAGACGGAAAGTAATGAAGTTGTTCAGAACTTCGAAGAGAAAACAGAGAAAGAGTCAAAGCCTGAGAAATTACCGGACAAGGAACTTTAACCTAGGTAAAACTTAAAAAGAGGAGCCTCCTGGCTTGTTAAGCATCTGACAGTTATCCGAAATGACATACATGGGGTAAAGAAGTAAATTCTGTAGTACGATTGGTGCCTAATGGGGGCTTTACTGATGATTTAAAATTTTCTTATATGTGTTCACCTAAGCCACTTACTTTCTTTCAACATGTTTGTCAAAGGTGACCGGTAGGTTTGGGTGCTATAAACAAAATAGGCATTTTGAATGCTCTTGTCTAAAATATTAAATGCAGTTTATCTTAAGGAATATTGTTCTTTGCACTGTCCCGTTGCTGAGTGAGCTGAACTGGACGGTCTCTATCGGCATATGGGGTCCTGCACGGATGCCTCGATATTCCTTGTGTATTAATGATGCATAGTGATTAACAGAGAATTCAGGGTGCACTTTTTGACCTGATTGATACTCGTCAGTTGGATGTACTTGCCTCCCTGTGAGCGATGTTGGTCCTACTAGGACTCAAACTCGGGACCGATGGTTTCAAACGCAAGGGTGTTATCCCCTAGACCACCGAGTCATGATGGCCATTTCATGTGCGATGGGTATAGTTTTAATGTTGTCGCTTGTAATATCCCATAACTGAGTGGACCAAATAGATTGGTCTCTATAATACAAGAGACAACGTTAAAACTATACTCGTCGCAAAAGAAGTGGCCAACGTGGCTCAGTGGTCTAGTGGATAACGCCCTGGCGTTTGAAGCGATCGGTCTAGAGCTCAAATCCTAGTGAGAACAGCATCGCTCACTGAGAGACAGATGCATCCAGCTGACGAGCAGCAAATAGGGCAAAACGCGCGTCCTGGATAGCTCTGCTAGTCACTATGCATCAATTATATCTTAACAGATGCCAACAAATGTATGGCTCAGTGATATCTTCAGAATCCGAAGTTCATTTAGATCTGCTGGAAGAAATGCATTTTTAAAAGAGTGAGACTCTGGCACCATGGTAAAATGTAATTCCATTTTGTTAACTTATTAAACGTATCACAAAGTGGAACAGCACTATTTGGTGGGTTACGTTTCGGACACCATTTATTACCCACAGTCATACCAAGATAACTCCACAACTTTAAGACATGGTTTATATAGAATTAGTTTTCACGCCTCCTTTGTGATTTAGGTAGTAGGATTTCCCATATATCAAGAACAGGCGCTTAGTCATTCCTGTTGTATATATTTAGCGTTAATTCGATAAACAGAGATTTCTTGATCAATCTCTACCTACACTCCGCCAGGTTAGTTTTAAGGATTTTAACTCCGTTAATTCCCAGTGTCTAATTGTTTGTACTTGGATGTATGGCTATGACAGATCTTATTCTAGATTTTTATCTCACTAGGATCTACCATTTTTGATCTAGTTTAGATCTAAGTTAGACTTTAAATACTCTCACCCTACATCAGTTAAAGTTGGGTTGGTAAAATGTTTAAGTAACAGGTCCAAAAAGCTTACCAGTAAAACAGATCTGAAAGAAACCAGATATACTAAGGACACATGACTCAGCAACAACCACCCTCCTAAACTACTTCATAAGTATCTTAGTGATCGTTAAAAAAATATGAACAATATGAGTAACACAGGGGTTAGTTGCAGTAATAATAATTTTAGTAATAATAAGGGAAATGTGGTTAAGAAAGAATGCAAAACCCCTATAGTATTCCTATACAAGGGAGGCACCTCAGAGACACTACATAGGTTCCTAGAGAGTATTCCCGAATTGATTTCAGAATAAAGCTATTATTATTATTACTACGTAAGGCTGGGATAAAGTGGCGCTTAAACCTAAAAACTAAATTGGAAATAAGTTTTGTAGTTTCAAAGACTCTCTTGATTCAATTACACAGAACAACCTAGTTTGTCAAATCCCTTGAAGTGATTGCGAGGTCAAATACATAGGTCAAAATAGTCAACCAGGGTACTTTGGATAACGCAGCACAGAAACCTAGCCAAATCACAATTGGTAGATCCTAAGAAGATAAGGAATTTCGGTAAAAAGCTCGACCATAGCCATCCATGAATGTGCATATAACCACGCGGTACGATGGAACAAAGTCACAATCCTTAAAACTAACTTATTGGGGTGGAGGAAGGAATTAATAACTGAATCTTTGTTTATCAAATCAGTGCCAAGTACATCCAACAGGAATAATCCAGAACCTGTTATGGATATATAGTAAGTGCTATTACCTGTGCCATAAATGACACAAGAAAACCAGAACTATGCTAAAATCATGTCTCAAAGCTGCGGAATCAACGTGGCGAATTGCAGATATAATTTGAGTGATCCCCCTAACCCTTTACTTACTGATTACACCGTTTTTCATAACGCCTTTCATTAGGGTATGACGAAAAGGGGCCAGAAAGCCTCAGGATCAATACTAGGTAAACTAATAGCAAAGAAGAAATAAAGAGGACAATGCGATGGTGAATAAAGGGTGAAATGAATATGAAAGGCGTTAAAAAAATTGGCACTGTCCAAAAAGTCCTAATTTTCGGCTCCGGTCAATTTATCTGATGCTCTAACGCATCATTTAACAATACGTCCTCTTTTAATGAACCAAATCAAAGACTGCCTTAACGATAAAAGGCAGAGTGGGGTTGAATCGGGTTTCAACTTCGCGTAAACCAATGAGGAGTGATTGGTAGATTTATCAACTTTTCCTTGAAATAAGCTGTGGGCAGACTATGTATACATTTGATAGGAGGATAAAGACTGATCTCATATAGCACTTTTGAGAATTAACAATTGTTGATTATTACTTTAGATCGCCATTGAAATATAGGCGAATCTATCTCACCTATAACTCCTTTTAAAATTAAACAATCTCGGGAGGTATCTTCAAGAGGAACAATGGAAAAATTTCAAGTGGAGTTTTCTCAAATGTCCATTCAAGCAACTCAACTGCGAGGTTCAATCGCTCATGCCTGAATGTTAGTTTCAGCTTATTGTTTCAAGCCTAGAAAACCACCTATGGTGTAAAGAATCAACATATCCTTCCAAGTTTTACCTTCTTAGTGCGTATTTTGCTGTTGTAGTTGTATGAACACAGACAACACGTTATCTCGAACGTTAAGATAACGTTCAAATTCGTGCGCTTTACTATTTACTTGTACACAACCAGTTTCCCAGTAAAACAAATGCAGGCAATCAGATCTCCGGGTTTCATTTTACAGATGGAAAATCATCAGTTTTCACTTACATTTCTTAGACACTCATTAGTGTTTTTCGGCTCGCTGTTGTTTGAACCAAGTCGTATTTTAGATATCACCTATTTATAGAGTCCCTTCCAAGAGATGATTACTAGATGCAAAGACCATTAATGCATTCGCGAAATCTGGTTGTTGACTTTCATAAGTATTTGCGATGCCTTCTGGGGTGACATGACCTATGCAGAAGTTGAAGAGATGAAAAATGGTCCCAAATTTTCTCACCGTTTCGCTTAAAGCGAGTCGCTGCGTAGTAAGTAATGAAACGAAAAGGCATAGTTACCAGAGCCCTTTGTCGTGATTCTAACTGGCAATCGCAGAGACCATATGAAAGGTTGCCTTCCAAACTCCTCTTAAAGGGAACGTTTCAAGAAGTCCACACAGCCCACTGTTTCCAAACCACATGACGTTTTGTGTCAGACAGTGAGCAGGTAACCGCTGACCACAGCAAAGATTTTGCACGTTGTCCAAAGTGTCATTAATTTCTCAATTCAGAAAGATTAATAGTGCCTCTTGGCTACCAAGAAATGACTTGCCATGACACCCAGGCTGCTGTAGGTCACAACAAAAGGCGGGCGAATATCAGTGATGCAGTGCCATAACGTTTTATTTGCATATCTGCATACTAACCTGTGTTGATTGCCATCATTCATTCCTGCAAGTGGGATGTGAAAAATCTTAAGGGTTATTTGAAGTGTGCACACCGGTGGGTGCAACTAAAGTACCACCACCTACATGCTTTTCTTTGAAACTACTCACAATATGTCAAAATGCTCCCACAAAAACTAACTAAATGACTGCACAGACTTCCAGACCTCTGCCAAAACTTATTATACCGCTGCCACAGTTTCTACTTTCACCTCATGCACTCCTTTAATTGACCTTTAAAATTGTTCAAGCTATGCGAAGCGTTGTGGTTATGCTGTTATCTTTCATAAATTGTACCTAAATGGAAGTCAGGAATTGCGTGGCGCAATGGTCTCACGTATTCCCCTATTTCATATCCTATGTACAGCACATATCTCCTGTGGAATTCTTTCCAACACAAAACTTAACCTTTGGGTGGCACTTTCCAAACACTCAGGAGGGGCTGCGTTTACGAGGTGCTTGCTTTGGAACTTTCAGCTCGGCTTAAGTTGATGCATCAACCAGTATTCTGCAGCCAGTAGAACTAAATCAATATATCCACTACGAACGGATTGTTGACATGATTCTACATAAATAAAGAAACAAATCGTTTATTCTCACGTTGGTTACTTAACAGGAGAGAGGCCAGTTTGCAGGCATTACCACATGGACATATATGGAAAAGTCTACAAGATTTTACGAGTCCTGAATGGTATAGCTGGAATGCCATTAAACTCTATTAAAAACAGCGGAAGATCCCGCTAGTTATGAAGTGAACGCAAAAAATCACTTTTCGGTGTATACAAAGTGGTAAAGTTGAAAAAGTAATGATTCTTACCCTCATATAGTGGATTTAACATGAAAGATACCAGTTTACAAGCACCATCAAATTGATAATTCATAAAAGTTTACAAAACGGTATTAAGTATTAAATAATTAACACATCAAGCTGTCGATGTCATGACCTTACCAAAAGTTGCTGCAGTTCATGAGATGGACATGAATTTTCATTTCCTACTGCACAGATAGGTTCCACTGTTGGTAACAAAAGCGTGCAAAGTTTGGAGTTTGTGTTGTAGCCAGCCGACATTGTTAGTCTATCTGCATATTTTTTTATTTAGTAATATAACCGTCCATTCGTCGCAAAGTTCCGCAGTCTTTTGTTTCGCCAATCCGTGTACATGATCTGGAGTATCAGTAAAGTATCCACAGTTATATCACTAAGGTACGTGTCTAAACCAATGCATTTCCAGGTCACCATGTCAGGTTTGAAGGTAATATAAATTAATCACACTGGGAACACTTGTTGCAGGGGATGGAAGCAGACGTTCAAACGATTAATAGTCCAAATGGTTGTAGTTGCACACAGACTTCGGTTATCTTTTGTATCAGCATAGGCGACATCATACGAGAAATGTATTTGATGCGTAGTAACTTTCATATGAAAAGATCACTTGATACAGAGTACTAGAAAACATGCAATATGGAGCCACTGCAGGTGGGTCGCGTTCCAAGCCGATATGCAAACTGGTCTCTGATTTAATCATTTGTTCGGAATATTTTTGCTACTACAACTGTTGTGAAAGCTTAGTCGGTGAGTCGCGAGAAGAAGCATGGCCGTTAGATGAGTTAATCGCGAGGATGGTCCAGAAACCGTGAAAGATTGGTCGCAGTTCAATAATTATTGGCGTCAAACAGTAGGTATGATTTCCACTAAGTAATTATGTTCAAACCGAAATTCAGCATAAATTGTCCTCACCGATCTGTTGCTGCAAGTGGGAAGAGAAAGAAGAAGCACGTACAGATACTGGAAAACGAATTGTGACACTGGTTATTATGCAGCTACCCCTTGACGTACTTTGTCAAATTAATCCCTTAGTTCTGACTCACTGCGTAAAACTCGTCATCAATAATATCGTCGAAGGTAGCCATCTTTCATAATTCACATGTTTTAAGTACTCGTAATCTAGTTGCATGGAGTTTCGCTCCGATTTAGTGATATTCAAAGCTCCACAGTTTGGCGATAGCATACCTGTCCTCAAGTGATAGATTTTGAAGACGCATATTCGTCGAAACGCCTGTTTGTCCAAGCGCCACCTTTAAACGGCGCTATTATTGTCCCTGCAGTTATGTAAAAATACCCCCCAGCTTACTATAGTCGATATGCGCATAAACTAGTGTCCTTTTCATATCTTCGTTATCTATGTTCCGGATAATTTCGTAGCTAAGTGTGTTTGCGTGGCCATTAGAGATAGTACGAAAGAAAACCTGAGTCGAGGCAAAGTTGGAAGTTTTTTGTTTGACTTCAGTTGACCATAGATTTCATTCTTTTACGCGGTGGGCGATATATAGGTGTGGAGCCCCCAAAACCAGTAACAGTGGCCTGCATTTATTTTAGGAGACAGAAAATGAATCTGCTCACATTTTGCCATCTGGTTTTCCTCGTGGAAGTTCAGCATCAAATGTCATCATGGAGCGGTTGCTGAAAGTGGGAAAATAAAGAAAAGCACCAGCGGATATGGAAAAGGAAATAAGTACGCTATCCAATCCGGAGAATAGAGGAGTACCTATTATTTAAGACTTATTCGAACTCCATGTACATTTACACCTATAAGTTAAGACTCAACTACATGGCTTTTCAATTATAAGGTTCTTAAACTTTTATATATTTAAGGTTCCCCTCAGTGGCATTCAGAACAGTATATACTAAGTTCATCATACAGAGAGAAACCAGTGGTCGCACCCTTGTGTGCAGTCGTAAACCCATCAATATTGAAGGAACTGGGGGACTTTACTAACCCTGATTCATATATTTAGAGGCCTACGTAGTGGACATAGTGGACACAATGGCTCGGCCATCATTACGCGCAGATTGCTCCATTGTGCTTGGTACTTATGGATATAGTGTGAATGTCAAGAAATCTTCGAATATCCGTGAAAAGAAGGAATTCGATGAGTTTAATGCCGAAACTGAAATGGAGACGTGCAAGTGCGTATACAATGCGGCAGCTTATTCCGTAACCTGCTGTATTGTATCATAAAGGATCGTGACCTGAGTTTCAGGCGGTGTCTTTCGACAAGCATAGTGCACTCATGACTGCGTAGGCTGTATAAGGATGTGGGCTTGAACGTAGGAGAGCAACAGACATGAGTGATGTCACGCAAGAGGCAGAAAAGTGGGTTAGGGTTGAGCTTAGGGCATCTTAGCCAAAGTGGGTCAATCTTCAGTTTCTTACACCTTCCTTCGTAATCGGGCTCCTCATAACGGACTGGAAAATAGTGCGTAAACTTTCTTTGAATATTCTCAATGCCTATCCTGTCCGAAGCAAACATACTGCCGAAAATGACTGTTCCATATTCGTGTACTGGGTGGATCATCACTTCGAATAAAAGAAGTCCAGCCTCAGTGCTACGTACGTGTTTGAGCAAGAGGCCAACTGAACACCTACACTTGGACAAAAGGGACTGGGCATACTCCGTAAATGTTAAGTTCCAAGAACACCCAATACCTAAATCACACACCGAGCTATATGACTGTAGCATGAAATCGCCAGGGTGTGACCTGACGTTTGGGTAGGAGTTATTGAAGCAGGGAATTCCGCATTTACCAGAGGTGAGTGGAAGTTTCCATACTTCACCCCAAGTGAACAAATACGTCAGGTCTTCCCGGATTTCACTAAAACCCTCACTTAGTGATGCGTGAAGGGAGCTCTATACAATTTTTAAGTCATCAGCAAACAGGTAGAGCTTACCAAATTTTATTACGTTGGAAATATCATTTATATAAAGGGGGAGGAGTAAGAGACCCGACAAGCTACCTTGAATGACACCACTCAAAATAGGCTGTGGAGGGGACAGGTGCGACCGGAATGAGCATATCCATGATAATAGAGGGTCACTAACTCCAAATGATTCAAGCTTCAGAATTAACCGATCATGAGGCACTTTATCAAATGCTCCCTTGAAGCCAAAAATAGAGCAGTCACGAAAAGGCCTTCATCTTGTTTGCAGATGACTTCCTCAAGGTAATCCGGCGAGCAGGTACTGCGTGAACGACCTTTTAAGAGTCCACACTGCATAAGGGAAACTAGTTGACGCGCGGCCATATAGTCAGCAATTTCTTGCACAGCCACCCTCTCCGTATCCCGAGAGACTGTGGATGTAATATTTGCGGGACGATAGTTCTGAATATCTGACGCCGGGCCAAATTTATATGTGGGAGGTATGTGTGACAGCTTCCAGCGGTCAAGGTAGCATGCATCAGCAAGGGATATTGAGAATAGCTTCGTAAGAGTTAACGGTATGTCCTCGTCACCCCTTTTTAGGAGGATGGATGGGATCACAGTACGAGTTCTTTAGTAAGGCAACCGCATCACCTATCGTTTTCTGTGTAAGAGAAACATTGCCTAGCGAGTAGTGTGGTGGAATGGGCATTCGTATGTCTAGCACACTATCTTGAGGCAGTTTGCATAATGATTACTGAACGGCCCACAAATCTTACTTGAGTCCTCACAAAGAATGCCCCCATCAATGATCGAACCACTAGCAATTACTCTACGTAAGTTTGCACGGGATTTTAGAACTCTCACTAGTGACATCTTCCGTTTGTTTTTTTGCTGCTAGTTTCCTGCTCGGTTGCTGTCAGTAACCCATTTGATTTGAACTTCTCGTGACCAATTTTTATTGAGACAAGGGATGAAAAGTCAGTGGATCGATAGAAATTTCCGGCATATCTGCGCATGCTGATACGTACATTTTCTAGGGTGAAATTCGCTTTCGACTTTCTAATTACTGCTGATACCACCGGAGCAATAACATTATGAAGTACATTTATCGGGCTATAGAAGATATCACTTAGTTCATGGGCTGGGCTACTGGTGAAATAAGAACCCTAGTCCAAGCACCTCAAATTTTACCGCATCTCTTCCCGGATGGCATTGTAATGTTGCCTAATTGTGGCTGATTTTGAAAGCCATCAGCGGAGAGATGGCGTGCCATCTTATACATGCCATTTTATACATGAGGG